ATAAGTTTGTGTGATAGTCATTCCCTTGAGGTTAGACAGGCATTTTATGTCGTGTTGTCAATGTGTTGCAATTTTTTTGTGTAACAGAGTAGAAGCTTTAAAAGAAAGAACAGCATGTATGCATATGAAATTTTGTTTCATGCTTGGTAAAATGGTTAGTGAAACTCGCAACATGCTTCAAAAAGCATTTTGCAATGAAGCAATGAGTTGGGCACAGTGTTTTGAGTAGCTTTCTTGATTCAGAAAGGACAAACATCAGTTGAGGATGATGAACACATGGGTCATCCATCAACATCAGAAACAGACATCAACATTGAAAAAAATGAGGAAGGCTATTCACGAAGATCATTGTCAGGTATGCAGGACATTACATGTGCTGTGGGAATTTCTTATATGTCATGTCAAAAGATTTTATCTGAAAATTTGAACATGAGGTAAGTGGCTACAAAATTTGCGCCCCCACTTGCTACTCAAGACCAGAAAGACGATGGTCTTTCTGGTCTTGGGGGATGACCACCACATGGTGGTCATCCCTCACCTTCCCTACTCCCCATGTCTAACCTCCTTTGGCTTCTTTCTCTTCCCAAAAATAATAATGATGCTGAAGGGGTGGCATTTTAATAACATGGAGGAGTTTCAAGCAGAATTGTAGGCTGCACTAGATGCTGTTAGGAAAGAAGAGTTCCAGAAATGTTTCAAGAAGCGGCAGAGGCGCTGAAATTGCAATATAGCCTCCCAAGGAGGGTACTTTAAGAGAGAGAACTTCAACTAGGTGATTAGGTAAGCCTGTTTTTTTTGTGGCAGTCCAAGAACTTTTTGATAGCATCTAATATTCCATCTACCATAACCTGTTCTGAAAGACCCACATTTAATGCTTCTGTTTTTTTAATCTCTAACATTAAGTACCACTAAATGATCTAGCATTTAGATTAAAATGACAAGGAAGCAATACAAATGATACTGACACTAACTTGTTTATTACTGTACCTTATATCTATTTTGTAGGTATACTGACCAGAGTTGCAGGGCTGAAACTGATGGAGCAATATTCATATAGATTTAGGGTGCCATATTGTATATGTATGTTAATGTGAATGTTCCGATTTTTTTATTACTTTTTCTATTTTCAGTCCTGGTGTTGTAGTAACAGAACTGCAAAAACGTGGTGGTTTTGGGCCAGAGGCTTACGTTGCTGTGAGTAATGCATTTATTTAGTGTACCGTATGATATTAAATGCAAAGTGCTAGACATGAGGAATTCTGGTATATTACAGTATAGTATGATATCAAAAGGCTTTCTGTAATGGTTAGGCATAAGGAATGGTTCCACCAGATATCAATGTGTAATGTGAATGTAAATGAGGTGCCATGATGCTGGTGAGGGCTTGATCTAAGGAATTGGACTTATCCTCCCTTCTTTGGATCAAACCTGAATGCTTCTCCTTTCCCAGACACTGAAATGCTTAGTGCTTCACCTCCTGATTAATGAATAGTAACAAATTAGTATTCATATCAGCAGTTGATAAGCAGGGATAGATTTTGCAAAATACAGTACACTTGCAATAGCTCTCTGGATTGATATTTTGCATAGTTTACTTTTGTGTATCATTATATATATAGTATAAGGATTTAGAAAAGGCATATGATAGGGTTGCTAGGGGAGCATTATGACAGATGTTGCAAGTGTATGGAATAGATGGTAAGTTACTAAATGCTGTAAAGAGTTTTTATGAGGATTGCGAGGCTCAGGTTGGGGTGTGTGGGAGAGAGGGAGATTACTTTCCAGTAAAAGTAGGCCTTAGACAGGGATGTGTAATATCACTATGGTTGTCTAACATTTATAGATGGAGTTGTAAAAGAAGTAAATGTAGGGGGTTGGGGAGAGGGGTGGGATTAAATTATGGGGAATCAAATATAAAATGGGAATTAGCATTTGCTTTTTGCTGATGATACTGTGCTTTTGGGAGAGTCTGTAAAGATAGAAAGTTGAAAGTGAACATAGATAAGAGTAAGGTGATGATGGTATTAAATGAGTTAGGTAAAGAAAAATTGGATATCACATTGGAGGGAGGGAGTATGGAGGAAGTGAATGTTTTCAGATATTGGGGAGTAGATTTGTTAGCAGATAGGTTAATGAAGGACAAGGTTAGCCATAGAATTGATGAAGGAAAAAAGGTGAGCGGTACATTGAGGCATCTGTGGAGACAAAAACAACATTATCCATAGAGGCAAAAAAGGTAATTTACGAGCGTATAGTGGTACCAGCACTCTTATATGGGTGAGGCATGGGTTGTGAATGCTACAGTGAGATAGGGGCTGGAGGCTGTAGAGATGTCGTTTCGTGTGTGGTGTAAATATTATGTAGAGAATTCGTAGTGCGGAAACTAGGTGGTGGTGTTGAGTTTCTAAAAGTATTAGTCGGAGGGCTGAAGAGGGGTTATTGAAGTGGTTTGGTGATTTAGAGAGGATAGAGCAAAGTTGGTTGACTTGAGGGTGTATAACTCTGTAGTGAAGGGGTAGGGGTCATCCTAGGAAAAGATGGAGGGAGGGGGTAAAAGAGGTTTTGTTGCACAAAGGGCCTGAACATGCAGCTGTTGTGTGAGTTGTTAGATGGAAGCGAATGGAAATAAATGCTTTTTGGGATCTGACGAGCTGTTGGAGTGTGAGCAGGGTAATATTTTGTGAAGGAATTCAGGGAAACCAGTTAGCCGGACTTGAGTCCTGGAAGTGGGAAGTACAGTGCCTTCACTCTAAAGAAGGGGTTTGGGATATTGGCTGTTTGGAGTGACAACTAAACTGTTAAACCGGGCACCTCTGCAGAGACAGTGATATTGTGTGAATGATGGTGAAAATGTTGAATGATGGTGGAAGCGTTTCTTTTTTGAGTCACCCTGCCTCGGCGGGAGACTGCTGTCATTTAAAAAAAAAAAATTAACCATCATTCATTTGGGACGAATTAGTGTTTAAGTAGTGATTTGCATATTCAAATTTGTGTGATTAATATAGTGTAGTACCACTGCCATATTTATACCTTTGAGCAGTATTTATCAGATTGTTGACATTCTTAATTTTATTACAGTTCCTTGAGCGTTCAAAGCAAACCCATGCTCTAGGCCGTCCAGGACAGCCTGAGGAGGTGGCAGCAACAATCGCATTCCTGGCTTCTGAGGATGCCTCCTTCATCACCGGTGCATCGCTTCCAGTTGATGGTGGCCGTCATGCCATGTGTCCACGATAATTCATTCCATTTGGATACCTCATTTCTAACCAAAATTACAGTACACTACACTACTGTAGTTACTATTTTTTCTTTAATATTTTGTTGGTTGATGTTTATTAACAGTGTTGGTATTTGTATACTTGATATTATTTGAGTGTAAATGCTATGCTTACAATGGATTTATTTTTAATGTTTCCTGATTAAGCAACAAGTAAATTGTAGCAAAAAAAAAAAAAAAAAAAAAAAAAGGGCCCATTGTATGTTGAATAGTACATGAGCAAACATTTCTTCTTGATTAAAGCTTATAAGTTTTTTTTTTTTTCGCTCAAATAAGGCAGTGTGGATAACCTACATTAAATTTGTTTAAATACATGTACATATTTTTTATAGCAAATGGTAAAAAATAACATTAACAGTAACCCTAGAATGTTGCCAAATATGAGTACCAAAAAACATCTTTGATCTTGCTAAAATGTGTTTATTAATGTTGCAAAACTTTCTGATCACTCTGTAGAAGTGTGAATTTATAAAAGGTATTCAGTGTTATATTACAAAATATAACAAAAATCGTTGATGTAAATCACTAAAGTGGTTACATAATAAGAAATACAGAAAAGTGCAAATAAGAAAATAGAAATTGTAAGGAAACTGGATTGAAAAGGAAGTGTACTGGTCAGGAAATTGTAGCATTTCCAGTAGTTTTAAAAGTGTATAAAAAAAAAAATAGTGGTTGAAGGGAAATCTTAATATCTTTGGATGCTCTAAATGTAAAAATGCTCTTAGATGAAGTTTCCCAAGTTAAAAAAAATCAAGAAATAACTATTTTCAGAAATAAAGCATATATGTACTGGCAATTACAAAATTGGGTGAATGCTTTACAAACTTAGTGAAAACCCCTTTGTTATGCAGAGCATTTCATTGGCAAGAATAAGAATTTGTCACTGATGTTGACTTTTTTTATTTTCTGAATATATATTCTTGATAATTTTTGTTGGAAACAAGATCATTGTTTTTAATAAAGGTTTCTGAAATAGTTTATCTTCATTTACATAATAGAAATATTTTGTACAGTATATGTACTGTACAAAACTAGTTACAACTAGTTTTGTACAGTACATACAGTACAAAACTAGTTAAAACTAGTTACAAAAGTATTATGTGTGAGAATTAAAATATGCAGTTACAAAAAATATAATGAATTGTGTTAATTGGAAAGTAAATGTTCCTTCAAGGGAAAAGTCCTTGGCAAGGCAAAGTGACCATGATCTGGGAAATTAGACCTCTTGTCTCCTCTGATCAAGCTGAACTATCCCCCTCTGTTCATTTGATTCCTTATTGGTGAAATTCAGCTCCTAGGCAGGAGGGAAGAGATTGTTATCAGCTCCATTCTAATGTAGACATCTGTGGTATTTCTGTCATGAATAGGAATTGGATTGTCTGGGGATGTGCTGGTGTGATTATACGTATAGAGACCTTTTCACGCCATCTTCCCAAGTCTGGGCCGTAAAATGATCATACTCTGGCTAAGCTGCTGTGGACCTAATCAGACTGCTAATCTGCTGGCTTCAATGTCTTTTAGGTGTTAGTGACATGGGGTCACTGACTTTGTATGTCTTTGGGTGACTGGAGTATTCTTGGAGGCTGCCTTTGGATTCAAGGATGTCAGCCGAAGTGCTGTCTCCTGGGGTATCCAATTATCAGGCTCATTCAATAGAATGAGCCTCTCTCAGTCAATTCTGGAGGAGTCATCCTAGTACACTATAGAGTAGAAGCCAGATTCCATGGAGCAGCAGCTGTCAGCCACACTGATGATCATCGTAGTTCAGGGTGGGTGTACGGGTTTTGTTTATTAAGAGTTGTCCCTCCCCACAGATTTCTCAGAACCCGATATCGCTTTTATGCAGTACCTTGTAGGTAAGATTCCATTATCAGTGTTCATACCTCTTGACTTTCTCTCTGCATTAACCATACTCCAAACTTTTCCCACAACATTGTGCAGCACTATATGAACCTTGTGGGTTTAGCACTATATGAACCTTGTGGGTTTAGTGCTTAGTTATGATTATAATAATCCCATAACATTGCTCATTTTCAGAGCTTTCACGTGTTATAAAAGAGAATGGCATGAAGCCACTGTTCAAACGTTCTCAGCACATACTAGGCAGTTCTAGCAGGGGCGCTGTGAGCACAATATGGAAACTTAGTATCAACATCGGTGGTGCCAGATTATTCAGCATCTTGCCTGAAGATATCGAACACTGCTGGGACAAGTGTAAAGTCTTCAAGAGGAAACCAGACAAGTATCTTCACCAGACACTAGATTAACTAGGCTGTGATGAATATACGGGTCAGCGGGCCACCAGCAGCAGCAGCCGGGTTGACTACACAAGCACCAGACAAGCCTGGCCCATGGCCGAGCTCTGGTAGTGTAGATAAAAACTTGAAACTCATCAAAGGTTTATCTTGCATTACACTACCTGCCTCTTTGACTACAGACACTGTTAAGACCACAGTAGCTTTTTGTTGAAGAGAAAGGTAGTAAACAACTCATGCCCCTTAATCTTCACATTCACTCCCTTTTCAACCCCCTTACACCCACTCTTGTCATACATTTTCCTTTTGTAGCTACCATGAAATCCCTTATCTTAATTTTACCAGTCGCATTACCCAATAGCTACCACCTGTTTTCTGATGCTGTTTTACTGGTCAATAATTGCAACATTACAGTGGAATATCAGAGGATACAGAGAAAATCAGGAAATCGCCAAATGTTGATCTCCCAGTTTTCCCTTGTATGTACATTTTTTAACCCGTAAATGGTCCAAACGTATATATGCGTTTTTTCAACATTTGAAAGTATGTAAAAAAGTAGATCTTCTTTTTGTTTTTTTACATTTGAAAATGTGTAAAAAAAAACGTAGATCTACTTTTGCGGCACTACACATGTGAACGTAGATCTGCTTGGACCGTTTATGGATTAAAAGCCAAAATTACATTCGACAGTCGGTATTCCTGTGTGCCTATGTTTTATTACAATCACTCAATTGCTTGCCTGAAGAGGTATGTATACATTGAAGCATTTTTTTTTTTTTTTTTTTTTTTTTTAAACAAGTCAGCCATCTCCCACCGAAGCAGGGTGACCCAAAAAGAAAATACTTTCATCATCATTCAACACTTTGACCTCACTCACATATAATCACTTATTTTTTTTTATTATTTGCAGAGGTGCTCAGAATACAACAGTTTAGAAGAATATACGTATAAAGATACACAACATATCCCTCCAAACTGTCAATATCCCAAACCCCTCCTTTAAAGTGCAGGCATTGTACTTCCCATTTCCAGGATTCAAGTCCGGCTATATAAAAATAACCAGTTTCCCTGAATCCCTTCACTAAATATTACCCTGCTCACACTCCAACAGCTCGTCAGGTCCCAAATACCATTCGTCTCTATTCACTCCTATCTAACATGCTCATGCACGCTTGCTGGAAGTCCATTCCCTCGCCCACAAAACCTCCTTTACCCCCTCCCTCTAACCTTTTCGAGGGCAACCCCTACCCTGCCTTCCTTCCCCTACAGATTTATACTATCTCCATGTCATTCTACTTTGATCCATTCTCTTAAATGACCAAACCACCTCAACAACCCCTCTTCAGCCCTCTGACTAATACTTTTATTAACTCCACACCTAATTTCCACACTCCAAATTTTCTGCATAATATTTACACCACACATTGCCCTTGGACAGGACATCTCCACTGCCTCCAAACATCTCCTCACTGCAGCATTTACAACCCAAGCTTCACACCCATATAAGAGTATTGGTGAAGGCTTATTTGTGTGCAGTAATATACTTAATCTTGATTTTCATTTTATACTTTGCTTCACTATACTGCAGCCTATGACTATTTAGATGAAAGATATATGGTCTGCTCTGTATCTTTCCCCTTCGTGCCCATTATTTATCCCTACCATACAAATTCTAATTTCTTCCTTACCTACACCACTTCTTTTATTCGATGATTTTAATGCTCATCATTTGCAGCACATTTCTAAGTTAGGTTATCCTCTATCCATAAAAAGCAGCTCTGTATGACCCTTATGGGTTTAGCGTTTGGTTTTCGATTATAATAATGTCCATAAAAAATTATGATGCACCATAATGGAAAAGCTATAAATATGAAATACTATAAAAAATAAGTCTGTAGCAGACAAAATAGGTACCACCTGTGCATGGTCTGAGTAAATCAGTCGTAATTCAACTATTCAAGGTGCTTTTGCAGAGTTGTATGACCCTTGGTTTAACAATTATGATAATGATGATAATCCCCTGCCCCCCTCCATGTGTGCTGTTTAAGCCTGAGTTTAGTGCTCCCCCATGATGGTTAGCCAAGAAGACTACCCAGGAGAATGTAGAATATAACTTTGGTATATCTGTGTCTAGCATTAGGAATAATATTAGGAGAGAAGTAAATAATGAAAATGATTATTATAGGAATGCAGTTAGAAACCTGAGTAGATCTATAACCCACTATGATAACATGAACATAGATAAGTATGTTTATGAAGCAACTTGCAATGTGAACAGACTGACTGATGATGTAGTGGCCAGGCTTAGGGTTGGTTACATGTACTTCTGGCAGTTTGGGAGGCACACACATGATGATCAAACTAAATGTAAATTATGTGATCAGGCATATGGTCACTGTCTTGAACACTATGTGCTTAATTGTCCACTTATTGAGGAATACAGAGATAGACAGTATAATCTGTGTGACATGTCAAGATATTAATGAAAATAAGATACCATATATACTTAGCAAATTTCCTAAATTTGCTTGTAACAGATAAGTGAACTATAGATATGTAGATATAAATCTGTATGTATTCCTGTTAACCCTTTGGGGCCTAGTTCCTAGGCCTTTTGTGTATCCATATACTCTTGTGCTACCGTCCACAGGATGGATATGGGGTGCACAATAAACTAGCCATTTCGGTGGCAGAATCTAATTAAAATCTAACCATGATTATAAGAATTATAATAATCAGTCACCCATTTGACTGTCTTCATGTCAGTAGTGTGTACACCCTTCAACCCTGGTGAGTTTAGTGCTTAGTTTTGATTGTACACCCTTCAACTGTGATGGTTAATGTATTTTCAAATACACCAAGACCCAACGCTGGCCCACAGCGACTCGCCCTGTCAGTCTTAGCTTAAGAATTTGAGTGGCTGGACGTGTGGGACAGGCTGCATCCAAGGACTCAAATCGCAGCAGAGCAGCGAGACTTTATCATTCCAACCTATATCACCCAGTCAAGGAGCCCACAAGTGGTAGCAGCGGCGTGGCCATAAATCTACGGTAATTTCCGTGATTCTTTAATGATTTAAGTGAAGGGGGGGAGGGTCTTTGTGTGAGGGTACCCCCTCAAGGAAGTTTCCTTGACGCTGGTTAGGGGCTCTTGACAGGGGCGGACCGCCCCGGGTGACACCATAGAGCCTCTAAAGGTGACACTAATGCCCAAAACAGTGCTGCACCAACATAAGAAAAGAATCCTTCGTTTCTATATAGCCTTTTACATATTAACAAAGTACAAATAAGCCTATATAGGGAAAATCATTGATTTTGATGTGATAGATGATTTTGCATAATTGAAGGCAAGGAAATGTAAGATCCAATTCACTGAGACGTTACCTGTACTCAAGGTCAAATTGGAAATAGTTTCTCTGATATTGCAATGTTTTTCTTTTGCAATTTTTTTTTTTTTTGGCATTGTTGGCTGTACTCAAAGTGGTATTTGAGTTTGTTTCCTCAATATTACTACGATTATTTATTTTATCATTAATAAAGTTGAGAAGTATTCTGTTCAGTTTATGGACCCTAAACGTTCTCATTGCTAAACATTTGTCACTGGTCATGCAGTGACATAACTGGAGTTTACCCTTCCCCCCGTCGCCTCACCCTTGAATTTCATGGGGGTGACACCAGAGATTCCGCCCCGGGTGACACCAACTCTTGTGACGCCTTTCCCTCAGGGAAGGTTCCTTGATGTTGGCTGTATAGTCCTTGTGGCTTAGCGCTTCTTTTTGATTATAATAATAATAATCCTTGATGTTGGTGAGGGGCTCTGGATTTAGGGAATTGGATCTGTGCTCCAGTTCCCTGAATTAAGCCTGAATGCCTTCCACATTCCCCCCCCCCAGGCGCTGTATAATCCTACGGGTTTAGTGCTTCCCCTTGATTAAAATAATAATAAATAAAAAAAAGGCACAATACTGTGCCTGGAACGATACACAAATAACCCGCACATAGAAGAGAGGAGCTTACGACGACGTTTCGGTCCGACTTGGACCATTTACCAAGTCGTCGTCTACTACTACTACTACTACTACCTCTTCCTGCTTTTATATACCCGTTCTGCTCTACTCGTTAGTGTGACTTTGTAAATGGTCCAAGTCGGACCGAAACGTCGTCGTAAGCTCCTTCTATGTGCGGGTTATTTGTGTAATAATAATAATCTAGTGACGCCTCTGGCTCTTGATTTAAGGAATTGGATCTGTGCTCCAATTCCCTGAATTAAGCCTGAATACCTTCCACATCCTCCCCCCCCACAGGCGCTGTATAATCCTACGGGTTTAGCGCTCCCTCTGGATTATAATAATGTGTGAGGGTAGCGCGTCGCCTAAGATGTTGCCTCTTCCTCCACTGCCCCTTTCACCAACGCCAGCGTGCCGCCTATGTATATATGTGTGTACCATCCTGCAAACGTCAATCAGCTTGTTACTCTGCCTACAATTTGGTTGACAGGTTTTGCAAGCACCACAAAAGGACTCAATAAACCCACAGCAGAGCAGTGAGACTTATCATTCCAACCTACTATGACTGATCATCTTAAACCATTAATAAACCAACAAAAAGTTGCGGTGCGGATGATCGCCCATTCCTGCGCCAGACAACACCCTCCGCTCTTCAAGAGTTTGAACTTAATATACAAAATATGCACTCATTACTGTGCCTACTACATATATAGAACATTAAACTCCAATATAACCCCTCCCTCTCAAACTTCTTGATAATTGCAACAGAACACACAGGCATCAAACTCTTCAACATCCCTCGTGTCCATCTCGCTCTATGCAAAAACGTAATGCGCATAAAGGGCCCCAAGATCTGTAGTTTCAGTGCCTGAAACAGCAAAAGGTCCCCTGTCTGCAGGGCCGGATTTAGACCTTGTGGGGGCACTTTAGATTTAGGGGGCCCTCAACATGGA